TGCCGAGCACATGTGAGAAACTGGGTTCAAWCTTGAGCACCACAGAAAAATCAGTGAATAAAATAAAGGCATTCTGTCCATCTCCAACTACCAAAAAATTAAAAAACTGCAGGATGCAGGGATAAGGGGACCGAATTAGGATCCACTGAGACATATTTTGCAGAACTGAGGTTGGAATCAACTTAAACCTTGAGGAGGATGGTTATGGGGCCTTCTTTGGTTTAAGGTACATCAGTAGGAAAAGCTGTCCAGAAACCCCTAGTGGAAGTTAAGGGGAGATCTAGATTTGGCCCCATCTTCACCCCCCACTCTCTCCTTTGCTACACCCMTCTCCCCTTATCCCCATCCATTGCCACCCACAGGTAGGTCAGCAGCTCCTACCTGAACAAGGTGGGTGGGCCAGATAAGGAATGATCTGGAACAGCCACCGTCCCACTTACTCAAACTCATCCCCACAGCTCCCTCTCCAGTCCCACCCGCCACCAGACAGGAAATCATCCTACAGTATTTTAAGATTCCCAGACTGGTTTTTTTTTTTTGTTGTTTGTTTTTTTGGTTTTAGTTGTAGATGGACACAATATCTTTTTTATATATTTTTATGTGGTGCTGAGGATCGAACCCAGTGCCTCACACATGGGAAGCAAGCGCTCTGCCACTGAGCTACAACCCCAGCCCCCGGATTATTATTTCTCTTGAAAGTTCTACCATTTCAATTTGTTAAACTTCATGTGCATAAAGCTGGGCACCTGTACTCCCAGCTATTCAAGAGTGGGGAGAATCACTTAAGCCCAGGATGTTCAAGACCAGCTTGGGCCACAAAGTTAAGTTCTTGTCTCAAGAAAAAAGAATATCTGTGCATGTGTGTGTGTGTGTTTGTGTGTACACAGGTATTATTTTAGCTTTTTAATAAATAATAAAATGATAATAAACTCCTTTTCCACTATTTTGCTTAAGAATTTTGCATCTATGTTCATCCTCATGATATTAGTCTGAAGCTTTCTTTCCTAGATTGTCTTTGTCTGGTTTTGATATCAGGGTGATATTAGCTTTATGAGTTTGGAAGGGTTCCCTCCTTTTTGATTTCATGGAATAATTGGAGAAGTGTTGGTGTGAGTTCTTCTTTGAMGGTCTGGTAGAACTTAGCTGACCATCCACCTGGTCCTGGGATTTTCTTTGTTGGTAGGCTTTTGGTGACATCTTCAATTTCATTGCTTGAAATTGAACTGGTTATATMTCTATGTTCTCCTGATTCAAAATCCTGGCATATTGAATATAAAAACATATTAAAAAGATAGTGCACCACGATCAAGTGGGGTTCGTTCCAGGGATGAAAGGTTGGTTCAGTATATGGAAATCAGCAAATATAATTCATCACATCATTACATTTAAAGACAAGAACCATATAATTATCTCAATAGATGCAGAAAAAGCATCTGAAAAACTTCAGCACCCCTTCATGTTCAAAACACTAGAAAAACTAGGGAGATTAGGAACATACCTCAACATTGTAAAAGCCATCTATGTTAACCCCAAGGCCAACATCATTCTAAATGGAGAAGAATCTAAAGCATTTCTTCTAAAAACTGGAACAAGATAGGGATGCCCTCTTTCACCACTTCTATTCAACATAGTCCTTGAAACTCTAGCCAGAGCAATTAGACAAAAGAAAGAAATTAAAGGGATACAAAGGAAAAGAAGAGCTCACACCGTCCCTATTTTCCAATTACATGATTCTATATTTAGAAGACCCCTCCAAAAAAAACTCTATTGAAAAACTTCTTGAACTCATAAACGATTCAGCAAAGTGACAGGATATGAAATGAACTCAAATCAGTTGCATACCTATTCACCTATGACACATCAGTGCAGAGAAGTCAGGAAAACTATTCCATTTAAAATAGCCTCAAAAAAATACTTGGAATCAAGCTAACAAAAGAGGTAAAACTACAAAGAAAACTACAAAACACCGAAGAAAGAAACTGAAGATCTTAGAAAATGGAAAGACCACCTCCCATATTCTTGGATAGGCACAATTAATATTGTCAAAATAGCCATACTACCAAAGACACAGATTTAACGCAATTCCCATTAAAATTCTGACGTTCTTCATAGAAATAGAAAAAGCAGTCATAAAATTCATTTGGAAAAATAAAATAGCCAAAGTAATCCTTAGCGAGAAAAGTGCAGCAGGAGGCATCACAATACCAGACCTTAAATCATACTACAGAGCTATAGTAACAAAATGGCAGGGTATTGGCACCAAAACAGACGACCAATGGAACAGAAAAGAAGACAGAGACATACCCACATAAATACAGTTATCTCATACTCGACAAAGGCCCCATAAACATACATTAGACAAAAGATAGTCTCTTCAGCAAATGGTACTGGGAAAACTGGAAATCCATAAGTAGTAGACTGAAATTAAAGTCACCTTACACAAAACTCAAAGTGAATCAAGGACCTTGTTATTAGACCAGAAACCCAGCACCTACTAGAAGAAAAAATAGGCCCAACCCTCCATCATGTTGGTTCAGGAACATACTTTCACAATAAGACTCCTAAAGCGCAAGAAGTAAAATCAAGAATCAATAAATGGGATGTTTTTATTTATAGCAAAGGAAATAATCAAGATCATGAACATAGAGCCTACATAGTGGAAGGAAAATCTTTGCCACTTGCACCTCAGATAGAGCATTAATCTCCAGGATATATAAAGAACTCAAAAAACATACCAGGAAAAAAAAATAACCCAATCAATAAATGGGCAAAGGAACTAAGTAGACACTTCTCAGAAGAAGAAATACAAGGGTCAAAAATTTATTTAAAAATGTTCAACATCTCTAGCAATTAAAAAATGCAAATTAAAACTATACTGAGATTCTATCTCTATGAGATTGGCAATTATTAGAATACAAGTAGTAATGTTAGCGAGGATGTGGGGAAAAATGTTCACTCATGCATTGCTGGTGGGACTATAAATTGGTGCAACCACTCTGAAAAGCAGTATGGAGATTCCTTAGAAAACTTGGAATAGAACCACCATTTGACCCAGTTATCCTGATCCTTGGTTTATACTCAAAGGACTTAAAATCAGCATACTACTGTGACACAGTCACATCGATGTTTATAGAAGTTCAATTCACAATAGCCAACCTATGGAATCAACCTAGGTACCCTCAACAGACGAATGCATAAAGAAAATGTGGTATATATACACAATGGAATATTACTCAGTCATAAAGAATAATAAAATTGTGGCATTTGCGGGTAAATGGATGGAACTGGAGAATATCATGTTAAGTAAAATAACCGTGTTCCAAAACATTCAAAGGCCTGGGGCTGGGGTTGTAGATCAGTGGTAAAGTGCTTGCCTTGCACGTGTGAGGTCTTGGGTTCTATCCTCAGCACCACATAAAAATAAATAAATAAATAAATAATAAAAGATATTGTGTCCATCTACAACTAAAAAACAAAAAGGCCAAATGT